TTACCAAGACCTCATTTGGACACCACAGGGGAAAAGATCTCGTGGAAGACCAAGGGAAACCCTACGTAGAACTATCATCAGGGAAGGCTCACTCATGGGCTACTCAAACATCCAAGACCTACAACAGATTGCAACGAACCGCCATGCATGGAGAGTCATGACCTCTGCCCTATGTGCCGCACTCGACACAAGAGGAAAGACTAACTAACCAATTCAAGTTCAAAAGCTCTGATTATTTGTTCATTGACTGAGGAAAATCCACGAGTCACATCCATGTAGCCATGGGAAAGATGCAAGATATCGCACATTTTACTTTTAATCACTTGCAGGTTCTAGAACACATAATTGATGAATCTCCAACATTATAAATGTCACTTTGTCATAGAACACACATAATTGATGAATCTCCAACATCATAAATGTCACTTTGTCCTAGAACATACATAATAATTGATTCTCCAACATTAAAAATGTCACATGCTAACTGAGCCCTTACACAGACTGCAATGAGTTACCAACACTCTTTGTCTCTTGTCTCGGTTGTACATTCTCCGACACTGCTCTCATTTATCCACTTGTATTCCTGTCTACCTCTTGCCTTCTCAAATAAATAATGAGGTCTGTGACTACAACACTCTTCTAGTTTCAATATAAAATATTCACTTGATTGCCTTGAAGTTTTTCTCTGAATTTTAAAAGACAGCTATGCCTCTTAATCTTTGACTGAAATATTTTAGTTCTGTTTTTTTTTAAATTATTTTGCTGACATTTTTTCCACTCCCAATATTTAAAAAAAAAAGATGTTGTATTTCAATGTTTTTGTGTTCTTAAAATACGGCCTATTCTTCTGTAAATCAACATCTAGAGGACTATTTTCTAGTTGCTTGTGCATGTGCCAGATTTCTGCACCATAAACCTGGGTTGAGTATACATTACATTTTGCAAATCCAATTTTTAATGTGTTGTTTGTCTCTCTAGATGTCAATAATGTTCGGCTATTCCCTTTATTTAAAATTGTAATTTACCTTTTGTCATGTGTTATTACTGATTTTAATCTCTCTTCATTTACTATGTTTTCTGCTTCTTTCCATTGTTATTTATCATAGTTCATACTGAAAGTTTCCACACTCTCAGTTTCTGATTGGTGGCCTCCGTAGCAAAGGGGTCAAACCGTTTGCCTAACACTCTGAAGGTCATAAGTTTGTTTCATGGCAGAGCCATTCAGTTCATAAGTGCAATTTTTATGGAGATCCCTGGGGATCATCGCCGGAGCTACGGAGATCGTGCTCTTTGTAATGCTCTTGGCAGGCAGCAAACTGTGTTGCAGAGAGAGACTGAGCCATATGAGATAAAACCCGGTGCAATAAAGTCGAACCTCTCACCTTTACCTAGAACTGTACTTGTTCACATTCTGCATTTAACAGCTACGTGATCTAAGATAACACCAAAAGCATGAAAATTGACATGCACACCACAGTATTTGAAAAAAATCATCACATTTGTAGAAGACAGGCACATGTACAATGTTTGTGATTTAATTGTCACAACAGATCATTTCTCTACCTCTTTCTCTACCAGATTGTTTAAAATCTGCCAAGTGGGATAACTGTCCCCAAATAATAGCATCAGTGTTTGATTTTCAAAGTGGCAGCATTGATAGAGTTTGTTTAAAACATACAAGTGGCCATATTTCATTATTAAGCTCAGATCAGCAGTAATACAAGCAGTAACCATCTGTAACATAATCAGTAACACCAGTTTCCTGAAAACATTTTTAGCTACAGCAGCTGATCCATCTTTAAAAAGAGGAGTTCTCATCTGAACATCGGTAGTAACAGTTATTTTTTCATGAAGCAAATTATGTGTAAAAACAATTGTACAACCACAGTGAACTTGACTCAGAGAACAAACATATTATCTACATGCAGTTTTTAGCTTAAATACAATTCCAATTGTTAAAGCTGCATCTTCAATTTACACATCCTTTTCCAGCTCACCATCATCATGTAGCAGGTCCTTTGCAGAATGTCGCTCTCATCACAGTCTGCCTGATAGAAACTCCGTCTCTCGCCAGTTCTCCCGCCTCATGTATTTTCATATTCAAGGAGTAACTTATATCCTATGCCCATCTTTGTGTCGGTCAGCCCCCAGCCCTCCTTCCGGGTACCATGCCTTCTGTTATAATTTTTTTCCAATCCGTCGTGGTGCTATATCTGACCAAAATATTTCAGCTTCCGAGAAAAGACCATGTTTACTAGCCAATCTCCTTGATGTTTAGATCCTTTTCCAGCTACCTACCAAAATAGTTTGTTGGCATCTTTGTTTCTTCCAGACACTAGTATTATACCGTGAGAGGCATGAAAATCACAGCCAATTAAGGCCTGGTATCAAGTTTCTCCTTGCCAGATAACCAAACGTAAGCAGTACTGTAGAAACCATGTGTTGCTCAATCAGCATGATGATCACTTCCTTGGCCTGCCTTGTTTACTCCAGTGTACTTGGAATAAAACATGCTGAGGAAGCTGTCAGATCAGAAGAACAGTGCTCCGCCTATTTGCCATTCAAAGCTTTTCTCACTTAAAAGCTGCCATAGCAAAATTGTAGTCATACGACATATACAGCAACAAGCATACATCGTTCCTATATAATTGTTACTTTGTCATTAGTTTCTCACTCCTGTGCATTCGTGCTTTCTTTAATAGTGTTATATAAAATTTTAAAACAATTTCACACCCACACACAAAAACTGGTAGGATTATACATAAACATAGTGTTGATTTTTCAGGCAGGTAACTCTTACCTTAACATGTGAATTATCTGCCCTTTTCCAAAGACAGAAATGGGACTCAAAAAAATTTTAAATACAAATCTTATTTTCTGGATAGACCACACAAAGTAAACAAAACAAGTGAGAGCAAACACTACATAATACAGACATATATAGGTATGTTACTGTACATTGGGACAAACAGGGCCACGTAACCACAGACATATGTCTGTTTTCTGTTTGGTTACGCTGACTTAGTATTGTCTTCAAACTATAAATGTATAAAAAATGAATTAAATAATTGGGATTTACACAATCCAGGCGACATTACTAAAATACTGTATTAACCCTTTTTGCCACATAAACTGTGAATGGGTTAAGGTCACAATTTTAAGATAAATTCTACCCGGTAGTTTGTGACCAAAACCCATTCACTCCATCATCATGTAGCAGGTTCTTTGCAGAAATTGCTCTCATCATGGTCTGGCTGAAAGAAACTAGGTCTCTCGCCAGCTCTTTCGCGAGTGCACTTTCCTACTCAAGTTGTCACTAATATCCTGGGCCCTCCCTCTTTCCTGATATCTTAAAAAAAGGTAGAGGTAAAGTCGGGTGACGTGAACCAGGGCCATTGCACATGGTTATAAACCATAAGTGCTCTGCCACCAGTACAGACAGCTGATAAGAACATGTCCACCTGTGTCGCCGTCTGCACTCAACTCCGTAGCTACAGCGATGTTTTTCCATTTAACCCAGAGTGTTAACTGTGGTATCCATTTCCTAGAGGCTGGGTTAACCTCGGGAACCGAACGATTTCGAACACGGGCTGTTGGCTGCAGCGAGTCGCAGCTGGATTTGAAAGTGAGTCTCCTATTGACTGTGCTAAAGCGGCCTCCTTTCCTAATTTCTTGACAACTGCTATCATTTCTTTCCTATACTTGATATGACCTAAATATTTCAGTTCCCAAGAAAAAAAACTGTTTACTATCAGATCTTCCATAATGTTCAGACCCCATTCACTTAGTTATAATTTTAGCTTAAAGATTTTTGTCTTCCTCATGCTTTTTTTTCACCATCAAGTTTTCCAGTTTCAACTTAGTTGAAGAATATATTAGGGAGCTGTGGAGGGTTATGGTTAGATGCTTGCCTGCTGGGGCAAAGGGTGTGGGTTAAAATATGTAGGGGGTGATATTTAAAAAAAAATCCTTAAACAATGACTTGTCTCCCAGGTGGCTCAAGGTTAAACTGAAGAAGTCCCGGGAACTAACGGTGGCTGGTGTCATGGTTACCACTTCATCAATCAAATGCTAATTGGTCTATAAAAAATAAGTGTAGTATCACATGCTGGTTAGATTTAATTTAGTCTCCCCAAACAAAGTAGGTCAAATTTTATTCACAAGTTTGTTGGGCATGTCTACTTTACCGCACGTTACGGGTGTGCCGCTCTCTTGTTTTCTTTCTGGGTTGTCTTGCATTTACATTTTTATTCCGAGTGTTAAAAGCACTGGCGTGCTGAACTATACAACACTCAATATCGATGACATTGCGGAAAACCCTGTAACCTTGTGCCAAGGACACAGGGCTCAAGATCTACCAGTCAGAAGTGAGCTAGTGTGTATATGGGAGGTCCATGGGGAGACCAACGTTAGTTTTACCTCACATGTGCAATGCCCAAATGGCATGAAATTTGACCTGCACTTTTTAAAAACTTTTAAAACTATTTCATTTCCTTATTTGTGTTTTTGAAATTTTAGATTTGCAGTTTATTAAATATTTGTCCAAAATATTCAATTGTCTTCAAACACATCATTTCATTTGTTGATTGATCTAGTCATATTTAGTTTTGGTTTAGTTAGTTCGGTACAAGTGCAACAAATAAGAACTATTTCCAATACATATTTTATCACACTTCATTTAACAGACACATTTTTTTCAAAATTACTACAACAATTCTGCATGTTTAAACTTAATTACCTGACCTTTACCCCAAAGACAATTATTAATTTACCATTCCATGAGCATCTGGTACAAAAAGGGTTAAACAGTTGAACCACCAATTATCAACCCAGTTATCACGTCACAGCTACTAGAAGTTTCACAAATATTTCTAGAACCAATATAAGTAATTATGTAGAGTCAGGTGCGGTCTGAGAGAAGAATCTGGTAAAAGCTGAATGTAGATGTCCGAATCTCTTGCACATAATGGAAGATGTGATTTGTGGTTGACCTTTGTTTTTTAGAAATCAGAAACTGGGGCAGTTGCTTTCAATGTTGGATGACCTTCTGCTCGTGGTTTATCTGTGAGAAAAAAAAAATATGTATCATCAACGAAACAAATACACATGCAAACAAATAGGTTTTATATGTTTGTATTTGTGTGTTGCTCTCATCATTGCAACCTAACGAGCTGCTTTGTCCCTTGTCAACTTTCCAGTCTTGTGAACTTCCATGCCCAGGATGTTCCTTATATCCCAGCATCATGTTGGTTATCCACTACTTCTTTTCCATAAATCATACCAGTAATTTCTTTCTACAATCTGGAGGAGCAGATGGATAACCACAGTCTGGTGAGATTGATGCAGCGGGGAATGACGAAAGGTTCTGGCAGATGCTAGAGGCTCAGAGAAAAGGCAAGGTGGACGTTTAATCAGAATGCTACTGGCACCATTAGTATCAGATCTCTTCACTGGCTGCTGAGGATGGGGACGGAGCACTTATGGGAATGCCCCGAGTGCTGTGATGTCAGTTCTTGAATCAATCAACTCAACTCAGCAATTACTTTCCCTCCAAAAGCATGTTTTAATTGAAGCCACAAATTATACTTTTTATGAGATAGTCCTCCTTTTATTTATAACATAAATATAAAGGGCACTAAATATGTATGTAAAAGATAATAAATGTTCAAACAGTGGAACAAAAATTGTGGAATAAATCAATGAATTAATATACAATTAGTCGGCATCTGTGGCCTACACATTGCGAATGTACTTCGCAATGCCGAGTTGCCGCATTTGATCCTTGCTGCTGACGGTTTGTCTTGTATTGGTTTCAACTATAGTACAGAGAGCTGAGCGTTTAGAAAGCAATGGCAAACGAATGAACATAAAGTTTGCCTAGAAAAACAACAAGTGCCAACAAATGCTGGAGCTGGTTCTGCAACCTGCTGTAAAGGATTCACAACAACAAAATACCATTAAGTAAACAAATTATTAACATTTATTAAACATAACAATAGAATAGTTCGTTAGAGAAGCCAGAAATTCCAAATTAGATATAAATAAAACTGCACAGGAGACCTCTAGAATGGAGGAGTTTACTGTGAGCATATCAGGTGAACAAACAGCACAACAGGATAATAAATGAATATTTCAAAATGTTACCCACGCCACTATTCTTTTAACAATTTCGGCCCATCCATTGAAAACATTAGAAACACAATCTAAGCAAAATACAGAATCTTTTTTTCATGCAATTGAGGCAGATATTTTTGCAAGGCCCTTATTTATATAGATCAACGGATGCTCCCAGGATAATCTCCTCAACAATATGTCAGTCACGTTTCTTTCCCACTGCTTTCCCTGGTACTCATTTTAGGCTGGAAATACCTGACATGCGGATTCAAATAAATAAATCTTCAGACTTCATGAAACCATCTAACTGCTCAACAATGGCTTCCATGTGAGAATATAATTCTTCTTCTTTATTTAACGTTGACCACTTTCAGCTAGGTCAGAAAACATTGCTGCTCTCTTTCTTGTTCGCTAAATTTGTAGTGACATTTCTAGTCCTCATCTCATTTGGTTTTGAATTGTGCTTTCATTATTCTGTCGCTCGGTGCTTGTTGTGGTTTCCTCTCGTTTGGCTGTTTCCATAACTGGCTGGCCTCATGCTGCGATCCGGATCATTGAGTTGGAGAATATAATGACAACAAACTGTTTTTATATGAAATCTGATCTGGGATCTGATGCCAGGAGATGAAAGCAACATCTTATTATGGAGTCTGATCTAGAATAATTCATGAAAGCTAGGACAATTATCAGTCTAGGAGAATTCATGAATGATGCTTAAAACAGTAGAAAAAAACATCCAGTGAAATCTGACTCAGAGACAAGTAAAAGAATGCATGAAATCTGATGAGACTGACTCCTCTACAGCTCCTTCTTCTTTTTCTTCTTCTTCTTCTTCTTCTTCTTCTTCTTCTTCTTCTTCTTCTTCTTCTTCTTCTTCTTCTTCTTCTTCTTCTTCTTCTTCTTCTTCTTCTTCTTCTTCTTCTTCTTCTTCTTCTTCTTCTTCTTCTTCTTCTTCTTCTTCCTCTTTCTTTTCTTCTTCTTCTTCTTCTTCTTCTTCTTCTTCTTCTGCATCAATTTCTGCTTCTTCGAGGTTGTGTTTAAAAACTCATATCAGGAGAGTTATAGCTTTAATGAAAGCAGTCCAAATCTTTTCGTGTACCAAACATCTTTGTCTTCATCATGGTTGCAACAGGCCAGATTGCATCTCTGTTGGCAGCACACAGTTGAGAATGTCGGAGCACATGTTCCGCATTTTCGGGTGCCAAGACACATCTCCGTATTTTTTACACTTAAACATTTCAACATATGTTGAGAGAGTCTGCTGTGCCCTGTCCTTGGTCTGAGTATAACACAATATTCCTTTCTAGAGAGCCTATGAATCTTAAGGAGAAGGTTTGGTGTGTGTATTTAGCCACTTTTCTAGGATACTAGACTATTAATGTCTTAGTTTCTTCTGGGATGCTGGTCCCTGTGAAAGAATACATGAAATCTTACGTGGGGCTCTGATAACTCTAGAAGAAGACAGAAAATCTTACATAGGGCTCTGATCACTCTAGAAGAAAACATGAAATCTTACGTGGAGCTCTGATCACTCTAGAAGAATACATGAAATCTTACGTGGGGCTCTGATCACTCTAGAAGAAGACAGGAAATCTTACATGGGGCTCTGATCACTCTAAAAGAAGACAGGAAATCTTACTTGGGGCTCTGATCACTCTAGAAGAAGACAGGAAATCTTACTTGGGGCTCTGATCACTCTAGAAGAAGACAGGAAATCTTACGTGGGGCTCTGATCACTATAGAAGAAGACACAAAATCTTACGTGGGTCCATGAACACTCTAGATGAAGACATGAAATCTTAGGTGGGGCCATGAACACTCTAGATGAAGACATCAAACCTATCACTTACTACTGGCAGGTGAAGCAGTTTCCGGAGTGTCATCTCCCACACATTTCTGTAAGTGTTTGAACACCTTGGACGGGATATTACCACCCTTATATCGTTTGTCTACCATGTCTTCACTACTCAGTGTGTCTGGGAGTTCGTCATCATCCTCCTCGTCCTTTGCTCTGCCAGAATGAGCTGCAGAAAAAATATCATGAGAAAAGTTTTTCTCGATGTATGTTTGAAAATAAACCAAGCTCCACATATAATAATGTTCATGATCACTTTTAACTTCCCTATCATTATCTACTGTCAAACTGTCACTGCTGTCTGTTTTACCACTTGTACTACTGTCTGTTTTACCACTTGTACTACTGTCTGTTTTACCACTTGTACTACTGTCTGTTTTACCACTTGTACTACTGTCTGTTTTACCACTTGTACTACTGTCTGTTTTACCACTTTTTAAGGTAGTGTAAGGGGGGATGGGGGGCCTCAAGCCTTAGGATTTAGGACCACCTGGCTAATGCTGTTTCCACAGATTGTGCAGTTTGAGATGTTTAATTTTGCAACACCGCCCCTATCCCCCTTCCCCCCCCCCCCCCCCCCCCCCCCCCCCAATCATTATGGTTTCAGTCAAAATAATTTGTCCTCATATTGTCATCATCAACATCATTATTTATTTTTCTTGATTATATTCATTGTCATGTTCATCCTTGACATCCGAGTCATAACTATAGCCATCAATAATAATCCTTTCCATTTTTATGAACATTTCTGTCATCATCATTGTCTTCCTTGTCACCATCATCAATATTATTATCATTAATAATTCTGTGTAGCACGTTTTGGTACAGGACGTGCTGCTCTAAGACCAAAGAAGGGGCTCTATGTATTGTCGATCCTTTAATACACGTTTATGCTTTTGAATTTTGTATTATTTTGCGTCCATCAAAGCGATTGCTATCATCTTTCAGGATCCATGGCTTCCATTAAACTTCTTTCTTGACCACTGGCACATTTAACTTGCTGTTGAAGTATTTTAATTCCATCACTTTCTGCATTGCATTAAAATAACTGGGAGGGGAAAGGTGGTTCTGTCATAGCAAAGTAGTCTCACTGCTTGCCATGCTCTCTGGAGGTGGTATTTTATGGAGCTCCTAGCAGTGCTCAAACCAGTGGATCACAACCTATTTGGTAAAAGGGGTGGTGGGGGGTTCGAACAAATAGTTAGCTAGCTACCAGCTGTTAGAAAGGTGGGTTTATTAACTGACCCAGAGTCCAGCAGTGTGGTGTTTAAGTGATAGAGAAACCAGGTCAACTTACAATCCGGCAGCGGGTCGAGTTGGGCCCATGTCTGTAGAACTCTGAATGATGGGGAGGGTATACTCTTGCCTTTGTATCTTATTGATGTTTCATCGTAGTTGCCTACCTCCTGGCTCTCCTCTCCTGCACATGAGTGGCAGAGTTACAGCATGACAGACTACAGTACAAATACACAGACATATCTCCACAAGACAACTTTAACTTCTGCAGTGCAAACATTTTAACTCATCTCAGATCAGGCAAATTACCATACGTTGATCAAATATTGGTTTTATGTGCAAGACATCCTCCTACTGTTAAATTCAGAAGAAAAAAACTATGAAATGGTGATACATGTTTCTGACAGTACTATAAGTAATTATCATTACTTGTCAACTTATATATATTTATGTATACTTATTTATTTATTTATATATATGTTAGCCACGAGTTGTAATTACTGTGTTGTTCTAGGTGTCATGTAGACTTTTTTAGCCATGAAGTTTATGTTTTTGTCTCCCTCATGCAAACTGACCCAAACTATGATACACATGTGACTGTATCCCATTAGTAGTCTGAATTAAACCATGATAGAGACATGATTCCATTTTCCAGGTAATCTATGTTAAAACATGATTGTACTCCCTGGGTAGTCTATATTAAACCATGAATCTAGCTAAACTATGATTTAAGACAGTAGTCTATGTTAAACCATGATTATCTTCCCTTATGTAAAGCTATGATAAATATATGATTGCATCCCCTAAGTAGACTGAATTAAACCATGATAGACACATGATTGTATTCCCCAGTTAGTCTATGCTAAACGATGATAAACAAGTGATTGCATCTCCTTGGTAGTTTATGTATGTTAAACAATGATAAATATATGACTGTTTTCCCAGGTAGTCTATGTTAAACTATCAATATATGATTGCATCCCCTTAGTTGTCTCAGTTAAACTATGATGGACACGTGATTGTATTCCCCAGGTAGTCTATGTTAAACAATGACAAACATATGACTGTATCCCACAGGTAATCTGGGTTAAATCATGATATGCACATGACTGTTTAATCAAGTAGTCTGATTTAGACCATCAGAAATGTATCGCAGCACCTAGTCTGAGTAAAAAAACTTTGGTAAAGGTATTACTGTTTCCCTGATATCGTTTGTGTTGGGTTAAAACATGATCAACCTATGCTAATTATTTTTAACCTGAGATACATGCAAGGCAAAAATCCAAATCTAAATTTTATGAACAAAATACAAAACAAGAAGACAAAATAGCATGCAGCAATGGATACATCCAATCATGTGGCAATTAGTTTCAAGATATCACCAAACTCAACTAATTATCCAGTAATATAATATTGTTTGTGTTAATTGTTTCTAGTTGAAGCAATTAGGTATATTTGTTAATAATGGTCAGTTAATTTGTTGATATGTCAATATAATGTGGTCACCATTGTTTTAATGTGCTAGGTTCTTTGATATTTGACAAACATGAATACTGATATTACTTTTCATGTTGTTTCTATGAAGTTATCTGGATAATTTGTTTCTATACCATGCCTCCCTTAATGGTCACCGTTAGAATTTTATGAAAGAATCAACCTTAACCAGAAATACAAAGAGCATTAATTAGCTTCTCAATACAAATACACTCACGAATGACAAAATGAACGTTGTGGCTACAAAGCCTTCATCGAAATATAATTTTTAAAATATGGACAACAAACAGCTAAATTAAAAAAAAAAAAAACTATATATAAAAGCATGTTTTTGGATTAAGTCAGCTGCTTGTCTTAGAATTAAAACATGAGTGAAAATAGCCACTGCTGGTTCATGTTCTCTCTGTCTCTCTCTCTCTCTCTCACCCCCCCCCCCCCCTCTCTTCCACCATAATGGACAGGAAGTGACCTATGAAGATAAGCAAGATGTTGAAAGGATATGGTCAGAGAAAGTAAGTTGAAAATTTGTGAGAGAGAACCCAACTGAAAACCATGACAAACATATGACTGTATCCCAATTTTTAGAGACTTGTGAACACTTTCATGAGAAAATTAAAACCTAATGGTCGGGATTTGTTTGTCCTTGGGTTATTGAAAAGGGTAAGCTTTTTCTGAAGACACCATTTTGAAAAAATGTTGCATGAATCTGTAATTTCTTTACAATTTGGAATTATGTCTGCTATTGGATGCAAAAATATGGCGATTGTATACCTCTGTTATATTTAACAGACCATTTCATTTGTTATTTAACTGCTTAACCAAACAAAGTCAACATGATAAACAACATAAAAACATAATGCAGTTATTCTTGCTGCTCCTATCCATCTTCTTGCTCCTCCTATCCATCTTCTTGCTGCTCCTATCCATCTTCTTGCTCCTCCTATCCATCTTCTTGCTCCTCCTATCCATCTTCTTGCTCCTCCTATCCATCTTCTTGCTCCTCCTATCCATCTTCTTGCTCCTCCTATCCATCTTCTTGCTCCTCCTATCCATCTTCTTGCTGCTCCTATCCATCTTCTTGCTCCTCCTATCCATCCTCCTCCTATCCATCTTCTTGCTCCTCCTATCCATCTTCTTGCTCCTCCTATCCATCTTCTTGCTCCTCCTATCCATCTTCTTGCTCCTCCTATCCATCTTCTTGCTCCTTCCATCCATCTTCTTGCTCCTCCTATCCATCTTCTTGCTCCTCCTATCCATCTTCTTGCTCCTCCTGTCCATCTTCTTGCTCCTTCTATCCATCTTCTTGGTCTTCCTATCCATCTTTTTGCTGTTCTTATCCATCTTCTTGCTCCTCCCATCCATCTTCTTGCTCCTATCCATCTTATTGCTTCTCCTATCCATCTTCTTGCTGCTCCTATCCATCTTCTTGCTCTCCTATCCATCTTTTTGCTCCTCCTATCCATCTTCTTGCTGCTCCTATCCGTCTTCTCTCTTCCATCTTCTTGCTCCTATCCATCTTCTTGCTCCTCCTATCCATCTTCTTGCTGCTCCTATCCATCTTCTTGCTCCTCCTATCCATCTTCTTGCTTCTCCTATCCATCTTCTTGCTCCTCCTATCCATCTTCTTGCTCCTCCTATCCATCTTCTTGCTCCTCCTATCCATCTTCTTGCTCCTCCTATCCATCTTCTTGCTCCTCCTATCCATCTTCTTGCTCCTCCTATCCATCTTCTTGCTCCTCCTATCCATCTTCTTGCTCCTTCTATCCATCTTCTTCCTCTTCTCCTATCCATCTTCTTGCTCCTCCTATCCATCTTCTTGCTCTCCTATCCATCTTCTTGCTCCTCCTATCCATCTTCTTGCTCCTCCTATCCATCTTCTTGCTGCTCCTATCCATCTTCTTGCTCCTCCTATCCATCTTCTTGCTCCTCCTATCCATCTTCTTGCTCCTCCTATCCATCTTCTTGCTCCTCCTATCCATCTTCTTGCTCCTCCTATCCATCTTCTTGCTCCTCCTATCCATCTTCTTGCTCCTCCTATCCATCTTCTTCTCTTGCTATCCTATCCATCTTGCTTGCTCTCCTATCCATCTTCTTGCTCCTCCTATCCATCTTCTTGCTCCTCCTATCCATCTTCTTGCTCTTGCCATCTTCTTGCTCCTCCTATCCATCTTCTTGCTCCTCCTATCCATCTTCTCCTCCTATCCATCTTCTTGCTCCTCCTATCTTCTTCTTGCTCCTCCTCCTATCCATCTTCTTGCTCCTCCTATCCATCTTCTTGCTCCTCCTATCCATCTTCTTCTTCTTGCTCCTCCTATCCATCTTCTTGCTCCTCCTATCCATCTTCTTGCTCCTCCTATCCATCTTCTTGCTCCTCCTATCCATCTTCTTGCTCCTCCCTATCCATCTTCTTGCTCCTCCTATCCATCTTCTTGCTCCTCCTATCCATCTTCTTGCTCCTCCTCCATCTCCATCTTCTTGCTCCTTCTATCCATCTTCTTGCTGCTCCTATCCATCTTCTTGCTCCTCCTATCCATCTTCTTGCTCCTCCTATCCATCTTCTTGCTCCTCCTATCCATCTTCTTGCTCCTCCTATCCATCTTCTTGCTCCTCCTATCCATCTTCTTGCTCCTCCTATCCATCTTCTTGCTCCTCCTATCCATCTTCTTGCTCCTCCTATCCATCTTCTTGCTCCTCCTATCCATCTTCTTGCTCCTCCTATCCATCTTCTTGCCTATCTCCTTGCTCTCCTATCTCTTCTTGCTCCTCCTATCCATCTTCTTGCTCCTCCTATCCATCTTCTTGCTCCATCTCCTCCCATCTTTCTTGCTCCTCCTATCATCTTCTTGCTGCTCCCATCCATCTTCTTGCTCCTCCTATCCATCTTCTTTCTCCTCCTATCCATCTTCTTGCTTCTCCTATCCATCTTCTTGCTCCTCCTGTCCATCTTTTTGCTCCTCCTATCCGTCGTCTTGCTGCTCCTATCCATCTTTTTGCTCCTTCCATCCATCTTCTTGCTCCTCCCATCCATCTTCTTGCTCCTCCTATCCATCTTCTTGCTCCTCCTATCCATCTTCTTGCTCCTCCTATCCATCTTCTTGCTCCTCCTATCCATCTTCTTGCTCCTCCTATCCATCTTCTTGCTCCTCCTATCCATCTTCTTGCTCCTTCTATCCATCTTCTTGCTCCTCCTATCCATCTTCTTGCTCCTCCTATCCATCTTCTTGCTCCTCCTATCCATCTTCTTGCTCCTCCTATCCATCTTCTTGCTCCTCCTATCCATCTTCTTGCTCCTCCTATCCATCTTTTTGCTCCCCTCCCTATCCATCTTCTTTCTCCTCCTATCCATCTTCTTGTTGCTCTTATCCATCTTCTTGGTCCTCCTATCCATCTTTTTGCTGCTCCTATCCATCTTCTTGCTCCTCCCATCCATCTTCTTGCTCCTCCTATCCATCTTCTTGCTCCTCCTATCCATCTTCTTGCTCCTCCTATCCATCTTCTTGCTCCTCCTATCCATCTTCTTGCCTATCCATCTTCTTGCTCCTCCCATCCATCTTCTTGCTCCTCCCATCCATCTTCTTGCTCCTCCTATCCATTTTCTTGCTCCTCCTATCCATCTTGCTCCTCCTATCCATCTTCTTGCTCCTCCTATCCATCTTCTTGCTCCTCCTATCCATCTTCTTGCTCCTCCTATCCATCTTCTTGCTCCTCCTATCCATCTTCTTGCTCTCCTATCCATCTTCTTGCTGCTCCTATCCATCTTCTTGCTCCTCCTATCCATCTTTTTGCTCCTTCCATCCATCTTCTTGCTCTTCTTGCTCCTCCCATCCATCTTCTTGCTCCTCCTATCCATCTTCTTGCTCCTCCTCCTATCCATCTTCTTGCTCCTCCCTATCCATCTTCTTGCTCCTCCTATCCATCTTCTTGCTCCTCCTATCCATCTTCTTGCTCCTCCTCCTATCCATCTTCTTGCTCCTCCCATCCATCTTCTTGCTCCTCCTATCCATCTTCTTGCTCCTCCTATCCATCTTCTTGCTCCTCCTATCCATCTTCTTGCTCCTCCTATCCATCTTCTTGCTGCTCCTATCCATCTTCTTGCTCCTCCTATCCATCTTCTTGCTCCTCCTATCCATCTTCTTGCTCCTCCTATCTATCTTCTTGCTCCTCCTATCCATCTTCTTGCTCCTCCTATCCATCTTCTTGCTCCTCCTATCCATCTTCTTGCTCCTCCTATCCATCTTCTTGCTTCTCCTATCCATCTTCTTGCTCCTCCTATCCATCTTCTTGCTCCTCCTATCCATCTTTTTGCTCCTCCTATCCATCTTCTTGCTCCTCCTATCCATCTTCTTGCTCCTCCTATCCATCTTCTTGCTCCTCCTATCCATCTTCTTGCTCCTCCTATCCATCTTCTTGCTCTCCTATCCATCTTCTTGCTCCTCCTCCCATCTTCTTGCTCTTGCATCTCTTGCTCCTCCTATCCATCTTCTTGCTCTCCTCCCATCTTCTTGCTCCTCCTATCCATCTTCTTGCTCCTCCTATCCATCTTCTTGCTCCTCCTATCCATCTTCTTGCTCCTCCTATCCATCTTTGCTTGCTCCTATCCATCTTCTTGCTCCTCCTATCCATCTTCTTGCTCCTTCTTGCTGCTTCTTGCTCCTATCCATCTTCTTGCTTCTCCTATCCATCTTCTTGCTCCTCCTATCCATCTTCTTGCTCCTCCTATCCATCTTCTTGCTCCTCCTATCCATCTTCTTGCTCCTCCTATCCATCTTCTTGCTCCTCCTATCCATCTTCTTGCTCCTCCTATCCATCTTCTTGCTCCTCCTATCCATCTTCTTGCTTCCTATCCTCCTTCTTGCTCCCTATCCATCTTCTTGCTCCTCCTATCCATCTTCTTGCTCCTCCTATCCATCTTCTTGCTTCCCCTATCCATCTTCTTGCTCCTCCCATCCATCTTCTTGCTCCTCCTATCCATCTTCTTGCTCCTCCTATCCATCTTCTTGCTCCTCCTATCCATCTTCTTGCTCCTCCTATCCATCTTCTTGCTCCTCCTATCCATCTTCTTGCTCCTCCTATCCATCTTCTTGCTCCTCCTATCCATCTTCTTGCTCCTCCTATCCATCTTCTTGCTCCTCCCATCCATCTTCTTGCTCCTCCTATCCATCTTCTTGCTCCTCCTATCCATCTTCTTGCTCCTCCTATCCATCTTCTTGCTCCTCCTATCCATCTTCTTGCTGCTCCTATCCATCTTCTTGCTCCTCCTATCCATCTTCTTGCTCCTCCTATCCATCTTCTTGCTGCTCCTATCCATCATCTTGCTCCTCCTATCCATCTTCTTGCTCCTCCTATCCATCTTCTTGCTCCTCCTATCCATCTTCTTGCTCCTCCTATCCATCTTCTTGCTCCTCCTATCCATCTTCTTGCTCCTCCTATCCATCTTCTTGCTCCTCCTATCCATCTTCTTGCTCCTCCCATCCATCTTCTTGCTCCTCCTATCCATCTTCTTGCTCCTCCTATCCATCTTCTTGCTCCTCCTATCCATCTTCTTGCTCCTCCTATCCTTCTTGCTTCTTCTATCCATCTTCTTGCTCCTCCTATCCATTCTTGCTTGCTCCTCCTATCCATCTTCTTGCTCCTCCTATCCATCTTCTTGCTTCCTCTATCCATCTTCTTGCAGAAAACACAATCTGAATAATGGACAACAATTCAAAAACACAATTTACATGACAGACAACGAACACCTTAAATAACAGAAACGCAAGACACATCTTAGAAAACACACAGTGTACGTGATACAGAAAAAGCAAATTATATCACAGAAAACAGTCTTAACAGTTTACCTTATAGAAAACACAGTTTACGTGACAGAAAAGGCACAAATTACATCAACAAAATAAACCCAATTTACATCATATATAACTCAATTTACACCACAAAAACACAACTTACATCATAGAAAACAATGTACGTTAGAGAAAAAAAAATTGACACGAAAAAAGCCAAATTTCAAACAGGGATCTAAGCATCTAGATAAAAGCACACAGTTCAATCTTCCGCAGTTGAACAAATAAGCAATTCTGCAGGAACAACGAAACTAAACCAATGGCTAGAACTGAAAATTGTAGGCGCTAGGTTGAAGCAGAAAATAAAGCAACACAAACGACAATGTGATCAGAGTGCTGCATCTACAAGTCTAGGGATGTCTGGGAGGTTTGTTCTATATATTACCTGCAAGGGTGGCGTTCTTGCCTGAAAGTGAAACAATTATGTTAAATTAATGTTAAGGGAAGGGCTGGAACCAAAGCAGCAGTTTGCTGGGTTCTTTCCCGATGACGTCACAGGACAGTCCAACATTTTGTAGGGTGGTAAGACTGGGTTTCCCGGCTGTCTGATGCTTTTAACGACCCCAAAACATCTAGAACTGGCTCTAACCCCGAACCCACCTAAGTCCCACGAGAGTGTGCAGCCTAGGTCCTACGACTGCCTGCAGCCTAAGTTCCACGACTGCATGCAGTCTACCTACCAGCCCCTAAAATGTTAGTCTGTCCCGTGACTTGTATATTTCCACTGTTTGGGGTAGGATATTAATAAAGCGCCGTTTTATGAACATGTTTACACCAGTGAGGTATTTGAGTATAAGAGGAGAGTGAGGATGATAGAAAAATTACAAGGGGGAGAAGAAGGAGTGAAGGTGCATATAGATTTGATGATGATTAACATTAAAGATTTAAAAAAAAAAACATGGTGAGGACAAGGACAAAGATGTGACGTTGATAATGATAATGACTGGTCGCGGCATTCCACGTTGTGAAAACTCGGTCCTAGTACATGTTCCGTTAAGCGGGCGCGACTCAGGATTCCTCTGGACACCAATAGTGGCGAGTTTCAGCATTTGCTATAATGTCACAAGACTTTTCATGAACGTTGCCATATCTTTAGATAGTGTCTGAGTTATGAACGAAATTCTGGGTTCCGCACTGAATGAAACACCCAATATTATTGTAGCACCAAGACAGCTATCTCAGCCTATGGGTCGCGTCTTTTTTTTTTTTTTTTTTTTTGGGGGGGGGGGGGGGGTCGAACTATCCTTTCAGAGGGGTCGCCAAAGACCATCGAAAAACACATATTCATTGAAGTCAAAAAACGGTAAAGGTACAGTCAGGAGATGTGAACCAGCGTCATTGCACACGGTTATAAACCATAAGTGCTCTGACACCAGTACGGACAGTTGATAAGAATTGTCCGCCTGTGTCGTCGTTCGCACGTAACTCTATAGCTACAGCGACGTTCCTCCATTTACCCCAGAGTGTCAACTCTGGTACCCATTTCCTAGAGGCTGGGTGAACCCCGGGAGCCGCCCGGTTTGGAACACCGACTGTGGGCTGCAGCGAGTTGCAGCTTGATTTGAAAGCGAGCTTTTTATCGACTGCGCTAATAACGTAGCGACGAAAATAATTATATGGCTGGAGGTGGCCAGAACATGAGGAACTGTGTTAAAGGGTCGCGGCATTAAAAAGGTTAAGAGCCACTGCACTATCACTATTATCATCATCGCCGTGTGGCGTTAGTAGTCATGTCTATCCACTACCTTCTTCTCGTGTGCTTTCAATCTACTCTGACACAGATGATCTTTCATGCTATGATGTCAAACTGTCCAGCATCTGTTCTCTCTGTCTCCCTCTGCCCCTCCTCCCCTCCAACTGTCCAGCATCTGTTCTCTCGGTCTCCCTCTGCCCCTCCTCCCCTCCAACTGTCCTACTGTCACGATGTACTCCAGTTTTCTCCTTCTCGTCACACGACCAAAGAATATATATTGTCTCTTTCTGATGTGAGAAATCAGTTCTCTTCGTGAGTCATTTTCTTCAAGATTTCTTCTTCAGGATGTCTTTTTTTTTGTCCAGGGTATTCTCATCATTCGTCTACAAAACTACGTCTCTGCAACTTCAAATATGTTTTAACCAATTTACTAACTGTACATGATTATCTCAGTTTGTGTTTCAAATACATATTGAAAAGGACAGGGGATAGTATACAACCCTGTCTCACATCCACACTGGTCTTGACAAATGTGTCTGTGTCGTTTTAAATGAGTACTGCACTGCTTGCAGCTTCATAGTGCTTCAATGGTGTCTATGATGTTCATATCGAAGTTGAAATTACTCATTATATTCCCGAATACTGGTATCTAGTCTTCCCATTATAGGCGCTACACAAGGAACACATATTTGGGACTCTATAACAGAAAAAAATATCATCAATAATAATACAGTGATGATTAGTAAATAAATACAATGTTATAAAATGTATTTTAAAAAAAAAAATTAAACAAGAAATCATGAATACATGGAGACCGGGGAGTTATCGCCCTTTCCAGGACCTAAGCACCAAAATACGGATACCATTTCTCTCCATAAGCTGGTAACCCCATAATCTAAGATGTTAGAGCGACACTTAGACATGGTTGCTGTTTGTACTCACCTTCAGGATCGTCCTTGTCTGTCTCGGTCATCCACTGGAGGACCTTGAAGGACTTGGACTGCTTCTTGGGGTCGGTGCCCATGTTGATGTTGATGGGCGACTCGTCTATCTCCGATCGAGGCCCAGTTTGTCGCGTCTGGTAGTAGTCGGATTGTACCAGGCCGGCCGGCTTCTTGTGGGACCTGCCGCCATGCTCCGAGTCCTCGCCTCGCTTGATGAAGTAGTCCGACTGCACGTAGCCAGCAGGTTTCCTTGGCTGTCTGTGGTAGAGCGTACAAGTCTGGTCATCGCAATGCTTTCCGATTTTTTTTTAAGCAGTATACTACTTCTAGAGGAAGTGGTGTGCAGCGGCTTAGAAGCTCGCCTGCGGTTCTTAAATTCGTGGGTCCAAATCTGGGTGGTGCTGGACTTTCGTTTTCTCACAGGACTTTGGCTTCCAAAGTCATTCCAGTCTTAAATGGGTACCAGGTAAAAGTCATGTGAAGTAAATTCGACTAGCGTGATGCTGACCCACCACTGACCTAAACAGTTTACATCTAGCCCTATATTTACAAAACACAGAAAGCGTGAACAACTTCATTTACTGATCATTAGTTGAAGAAGACGAAATGGTTTGGTCATCTTGTTAGAATGCAGCCAAACCTATTAACACATGCGTTACATGTGAAAAGACCTTATGTGAAAGTAAGAGGTTCCTCTAGGAAAACATGAACTGATAGCATGAGTAATCTACTAAATCGACACGGAATGACAATAACCATTGCTATTCATCAAGTAATTGATCGCAATCCTTGCCATTACTGTTCATGGCCACACAGCTTAACGACAACAGTGGGCATTGCTGATGATAAAGGTTTGAAATAAGTATCAAGAGATACAAAACGGCAACTATTTCACATTTTTTTCAGTTTCCTTTCATAGATCGCAAATAGAGAATATCAACACAGCGTACGAACTCTATAGCAGCAGCGAGTGTCCACATGAATGTATGAGTGACTTACGCATGCTATAAATAATATGATGTAGGTTGGTGTTCCCGACTGACATTTAGTACGGTTAAGCTCCTCTTGATATTCAACTACCGAAGAAGTATTAATGTCCATTTGCCGGTTCTCCGAGATTTTGTCATAGTCTGAGAAAGTACATCTGTCAATGCACTACCCCAGAATAAGGGTATACCCATACCTCCGTGTCATATGAAGTGTCGATCCATAGCCACAACATGATGAATTAAACCACGTCTGCACATTCAAAGCTCTCATTTATAATCGCGCATTTGGACTTCAAACCGCCGTGGTGCAGCGGCTAGACGCTCGTCTGCGGATCGGAAGGTCGTGGGTTCAGATCTTGAAAGAACAGGACTTTTTGAAAAAATGACTTTGGCTCCCAGGTCGACCAAGCCTCGAGTGGGTACCAGATACAGTGCTGGGAAGTATAGGTGGCCGGCATGATTTTGACCATATCACCCACCGAGTGCCGCTTGGTCTATAAAATATAGATCTAGCCCTATATGCCCAGTAGGCCTTGGGGCGTGGAAAAGGGTCATTTACTTACAACTTACTTTCATTTTCACTTCTCTGTGTATTTCTTTCTAGTCTTTACTCCTCATATTTTTTTCTTTGTCTCCATCTCATATCCCCCCCCTCTCTCTCTCTCTCTCTCTCTCTCTCTCTCTCTCTCTCTCTCTCTCTCTCTCTCTGTGTGTGTGTGTGTGTCTGTCTCTCTATTTCTGTTTCACTTATTATTTAAATTTTTCACCCAACTCCTCTCTCTCTCTTTCTCTTTCTCGTGAAGGCTATTCAGCCGAAATGTTCATTTGTCTTTCGTGACTGAGATATTGTGGAGTTGCTGGTTCTACTTCTCGTATAGAGTGATATGTTTAATGTTTTTTTTAATGTTACTCTTTCTCCTCCAACTCCCTTTTCTCTCATTCCCTTAGCTCTCTTCTTCTATCAGTTTCTCTCTCTCTCTCTCTCTCTCTCTCTCTCTCTCTCTCTCTCTCTCTCTCTCTCTCTCTCTCTCTCTCTTCGCCTCCCCGACCCCTCTCTACCTCTTTCATTTAATCTTTCTATTTCTCTACTTAATCTAGTTCTCTGTTACTGCCTTAACACATCTTTCTTTATCTATTTCCTTATCTATTTCTTTCGTAGCTTGTTTTCACGATGACTCTCCATCATATCTATTTTATCTCTCTCTCTTCCTCTCTCTCTCTCTCTCTCACGTTATATTTTCCTTTGTCATTCTATGTTTCTCTTTTCTCTCTCTTTCTATCTTTTTATCTCAGGGGTTGACTTCTAGCTACTCGCATTCGCTGGATACTGGATACCCAATTGTATACCATTTCTCTATTTTTTTATCCCTAATGTTGCTGTCTTCCTGTATGTCTCCATCACAAATATTCTCACTGTTAAACTCTCTCCTTCTTTCTTTCTTTTTCCATTTCCATCTCTCTCTTTCCCTTTCACCCGCCTCTCCCTCTTTCACACACACACACACACTCTCCCTCTCTCTCTCTCTCTGTTTCCTTTCTACTTCAACCCTGGATGCCCTCTTGCATATCTGAAGCGAGAAAACACATCTCTATTTTTATAACATCCGTGCTGCGATATTCCGCGCTGTCTCTAACAGGCCAGATTTAGCAGCTCCTGTTTTGTTGCTGAACTCTTCCACAATAGTCCAACAACACAGATAGTTCTAGCAGCACACTTGCGAACAGGTGCCAGTATTCGCCTGGAGTTGTGCCAGAGGCGGCGATCAGAATCTTGTCTGCTTGCAGATCAGGGCTTGGGCTAGATGCACAATGTAGGTGTGTGTATGGGGGTTGAGTGTGGGGCTGTGCAGGTGTGTAGGTTTGGGTAAGTTGTGAGGCAGTGCAGATGTGTAGATAGCGGTTAAACTGTGAGGCTGTGCAGGCAGGGGGCTGGAGAACAGGTAAGACGTTGCCAGAGGAACGTCACATTAGGTTCTGTTTATCTTGACAAGAAAAGTGTTAGGATGTCTACGAAAGCGAGAGTGGGAGAGAGAACAGAACAGTTGTGTGTATGATAGAGAGAGAGAGAGAGAGAGAGAGAGAGAGAGAGAGAGAGAGAGAGAGAGAGAGAAGAAAGAGAGAGAGAAGAAAGAGAGAGAGAGAAAAAGTAACAGTACATAGATGCTAGAGAGAGAGAGAGAAAGGGGGAGGGGGAGAGATAAAGAGAGGCGACTTGAGTGTCAGAGACAAAAAAGGTATATCTTGACCATAGGTGATAGTTCAAATCAAGTTAAACCCAGATTTGGCTGTTGTTTTAATGTTGTATGTCATCATTAATAAAACACATCACAAAAGTCACTGATAAAAAGGCGAGGAAAGCGGGCGAGGCAAGGAAACAGCCATCTGACTTCATTAAACATGGCCTACAATACGTGTAAAGTGCCCAAGACTGGCACTTCACACGCCTTAAGAGTTGAGGAAATGATGCTGGTGTTGGATCGGACACATGTTAAGAAAACCCTAGAATAATATAACCAGAATGTATCTGCACTGGAACCAAAAGGGGAATTAAAAAAAATACAGACTGAGCAACAACAACAAAAAACACAAGAAGAAGGCAGCAAGAGAATAAAGTTAAAACGATGGGGAGGACTTAGGTGAGCAGCATGTAATGGAGAATGACAGAACGACTATGTGTGAGTTGGTTGCGGGCCTATGCTCCGTTGTAGGGTGGGGATAAAGCGCGTAAGAAGATTTTACACCTAGAAGTATTTGCTACAGTACTACTATGGCTCTACATCCAATTTGTGCAAGGGAAGACAAGGGAAGACCACAACACGCAATCCCCAAGAATAAGATCATTTGGCAGCTGTGAGGCTAAGCAGATATGTGTTGAAGCCATACGATCAAATAGGTATCTTACAATGCCTAGTGACATCTTCACAAATGTGTTACTGAATGGCCTGGGCGAGTCTGTATCTCTAAGATCGTGGGGTCTAGACAGGGCTCTTTATTTTTATGGCTGTATGCAACGGTACACAGCACCGGCACCGTAATTTAAGCATGTTTTTCTGCGCTACTATAATAGACACCTTGTGATGAGAACTTGCAGGTGTTTTTTTTAAAGACACTTTCAGGTGAGCAACAACACATATTTATTGTTTCTAGAAGAAGAAAAAACCTGGGTAGAGTAAATATAGAAATGGACCTATCTTCTACGACAGTCCAGTCGCTAGCAGTTAGATAAAAACCCACAAAACCTCTGAAGAATTATCGAAGGCCTGCCACCGGAAATAGCAATGTATAAAGTTATAATTTAAAAAAAAAAAAAAAATAGCATAGATAAAGAAGAAAAGAAATACTGACATTTTTAAATATCTGAACATCAAGGAAGGTTAGTATATAAACATCATCTTGTCTGAGAAGCTGAAATATTTTAGTCATATCAAGCATCACAGCGGGTTGGGGATTAAAAAATAGCAGAATGCATGGTACCAGGAAGGAGGGGCAGGGGCTGAACAACACGAAAACGGGCACAGAACTCAATATCTGACCTTTTACCCCACCAGGGATCACACAAGCGATAAAGACCCGGTGACACAAAGTGCCACTATGCGGATGAGGACCACCCGTGTGGAGAGGTGCCAGAAACCCCTTTCAGCAGTTAGGCCATTTCTATGCCCCGGCTATATTCAGGGCCCCCCGGCAGAAGCCAGGGAGGGGGAAAAATGGCATCCCATATGGCGATGAGTGATATATGGGCACAGTATACAAGTGGCACCTTGAATAGGAAGGTACATGAGGAAGGAGAGATGGTGAGAGGTCGAGGTTCATTCAGGTAGACGGTGATAACGTTCTCCAAAGGATATGGTACACGATGATGATTCAAAAACAGGAGTCAGTCTACATTAAAATCGCAAAAACAGGGTTTTTGGTTTTTCTTCTACATGATTCCAGCGACCTACAGAGGTCTCTGAACCAGAAAGTGGAAATCAATGTAAAATAGCCTTGGGGTTCGTTGTTGAAACAAACAATAGTGGAGCCTCAAAAGGGTACGAGGTACAGTCGTGGGATGTAAAGGTGGCCGGAGTAGTGTTTACCATATTCCCCATGAAGGTCTACAAAAATAGGAGTTTAGCTTCATATTCCCGACATACAACTGGTGTGAAAGAGGACGTTTACATTTATAGAAGAGGACGTATGCAGTTAGAACATCACAATGTCTTCAATGCTTCTTACATACATACACACACAGACATACACACACAACCACACACACCAAACACACACACACACATGCATGCAAGCACGCACGCACACACACAAACAAACATATACATACATACATACATACATACATACATACATACATACATACATACATACATACATACATACATACATACATACATACATACATACATACATACATACATACATACATACATACATACATACATACATACATACATACATACATATACATACATACATACATACATACATACATACAACATACATACATACATACATACATACATACATACATACATACATACATACATACATACATACATACATACATACATACATACATACATACATACATACATACATACATACATACATACATACATACATACATACATACATACATACATACATACATACATACATACATACATACATACATACATACATACACACACACACGCACGCACGCACGCACGCACGCACGCACGCATGCACACAGACAGACAGACAGACAGACAGACAGACAGACAGACAGACAGACAGACACAGACACACACACACACACACACACACACAGACAGGCAGACCTACAGACAGACAGACAGACAGACAGACAGACAGACAGACAGACAGACAGACAGACAGACAGACAGACAGACAGACAGACAGACAGACAGACAGACAGAATGCAACACGGTGTTATCAACATGTAACATTGTATCATCTGTGTGTAGCACTGTGTCATCTGTGTGTAACACTGTGTCATCTGTATGTAACACTGTATCCCCAGCATGTAACACTGTATTCCCAGCAGGTAACACTGTGTCATCTACATGTAGTACTGTGTCATCTGTATGTGACACTGTGTCATCTGCATGTAACACTGTGTCATCTGCATGTTACACTGTGTCATCTGCATGTAACACTGTGTCATCTACATTTAACACTGTGGCATCTGTATGAAACACTGAGTCATCAGCATGTAACAGTGTATCATCCGTATGTGACAGTGTATTATCTGTATGTAACACTGTGTCATCTGCATGTAACACTGTGTCATCTGTATGTAACACTGTGTCATCTTTATGTAACACTGTGTCATCTTTATGTAACACTGTGTCATCTGCATGTAACATTGTGTCATCTGTATGTATCAATGTGTCATCAGTATGTAACACTGTGTCATCTGTATGTAACACTGTGTCATCTGTATGTAACACTGAGTCATCTGTATGTAACACTGTGTCATATGTGTGTAACAATGTGTCATCAGCATGTAACACTGTGTCATCAGTATGTAACATTGTGTCATCAGTATGTAACACTGAGTTATCAGCATGTATCATTGTGTGGTCATCATGTAACATTGTCTTGTCAGCACATGTCATGTGACACTGCATCGACAACATTATATCAGACCTATTCCTACATATCAATAATTGGTTTAAAAAAAGTTGAGGGGGGGGGGGGAGGAAGAGGGGGCTATAGAAGATAGAAAGGGAAAAAAACATACATGAGCACATACAGTGACCTACCCACTGTACTGTCTAGGTACATCCGTTTCGTCCTCTTCGTAGTTAGGCTGATCTGACCTGGGTTTGGGGGCTGTTGGGGGTCCAATTTTCCTGGGGAGAGCAAAACAAAATCTCATTGAAATATTTCAACAAATTTATTAAAGGTTTACTAAACAATGTGCAAATCCTTTAAGACACACCTTCCATCTACGCAAATAGAATAACATATATATATATGGTTAGTTGTGTATCCTTTGCAGGACGTTGCAGAACCAACCCCAACAGCCCCTGGTTGTTGTGTGGTTTTCTAGGCAATTTACGTCCAGTAGTTAGCCATTGCTCCCTGGACGGTCGGCTTTCTTGATACCACTGTCGAAACCAACACAAGGCGCATGGCCCGCAGCTGGGATCGAACCTGGCATCCCGGCATTACGAAGCGTTCGCATCGACGTAGCCACAGAGCCGACATATATACTGTATTTGAACAAAACCACGTCGCACGTTGTAATTTCTCATTTATAATCACCTTGAAATGCATAAAGAAACGA